ATGTGTGTCTGTGTGTGTGTGTGTGTGTGTGTGTGTGTGTGTGTGTGTGTGTGTGTTTTCTTCTGATTGTCCACACAATTTGTGCAAAACGCTCTCAAAAGGATATCTGCACTGCACTACCTGAGGTGATGACTCATAACTAAACATGATTTTGTCTTTCAGAGGATTTTGATTACACACACACACACACCTAAAGATCCAGTATACCTTACATGACACACTGATGCCTCCGTGTACTGCTGTGTTGATAGACAGTTCTAAAGGAAGCGGCACCCTTCATGTTTTCTGTGCTTTGCTAGCTCTGCTGACAGACAGAAAGCCTTGTTGTCATGGTTACCTCCAGAGAGGGCAGTGCTTGTCTCCGTGGTAACTGGGAGGGGCAAGGATGCTCCCAGCCTGGGCAGTGGTGTCTCAATGTGTGTGTGTCTGTGTGTGTGTAGGGGTGTGGAGGATTGGTCTGCATTATTGATAAAGCTCCTTGCACTCCACAGATAAAGTCAGAGACTCTGTAAATGAATGTTTGATGTAATGTGTTGGCGGAGCAGCTTTAGGACTGTGCTTTGTCACGCTTGGCAGGTTTGATCGGGTCATGAATAATGTGTCTAGATGTAAGGAGCATCAGAAGCAGGAATAGATTGTTATGGTAAGGGCACATATAATGCATTTATATATGATAGATACACATAATGCAGTCAGTCTCATTGGGAATATTTCATTTCTCTTGACTAACCCCTTTCTAAAATGTACTTTTTAATAGTGGTTAAAGAGACAGAAAAGCAATGACCTTCCTTCTTTATTTACTTTATTTTTTTATTTCTGTTCCTATTTATTGCCGACTCACGCCAAACATGACCTTCCTGTAACTGTAGGCCTTTTAAAGCAGCTTTTCTCATCTGCGCAGCACATTGAAAACACTTCCCTATCAAAGAGAGTGACACACTGACTAAGCTCCTTATAACCAGGAGTTATGAAACTATTTCTGTAGGTTGCTGGCTGCCACAATTCTCCTATTCTCTCCAATGTTAAGTGTTTTTCATTAAAAAGCCCCACTTGTCTGAGAGTCCTGTTGGTCTAAGTGTCACTATAGCAACCCGCCAGTCGCACAACGATGATTAGGGCAAAATCTTGCATAATGTGACTCGCGGCTCTGTAGGGAATGTGAGGATAGTATCAGACAGGCTTCATTGTGGTAATGGTTGCTTTGTGCAGTGCTGCTAGAAAACAATGCTCACCCTGTACCAACATGTGTGACGCTGTATGAACAAGTCCTTCCAGGACTCCTTAGAGGTATTTTCTATTTTATTGTGAATAAGAATGCTTATTTTTTCCATGAGTTCAGTCTTTATTAATCAGCCTGGGGGGTAATTGACATGTCACAGCAGAACAGAGACAAGCCAAGAGATAAGAAAACAGATGCAGAACTGCTGACATTTGGATAGACATTTTTGAAAAGCTGTATACAGTAGGTAGTCTTCCAGCAGCCGTGATATGTCAACTATAAGTTTATAGACATAGTTAGGAATAATGAGAACAATATACATAATGCTATAATTAAATATATGGTGTTATATATAATAAATGTGCAGTACATGTAATATATTGAAAATAGTCTCAGAACTGTGTCTCTATTTTCAATATAATTAATACCAGTATACAGTATATATAGTTCCTGCTATGAAAAAGGGAAATTATAGACCTGTAAAAGAGAGATAAAGATTATTTAAACATTTTTCACAATTATTTCGATTTATTAAGAAAATAATAGACTGATTAGACAATGATGAAAACTCTTGCATAATCTGAAAAGTTCCCTTTTATATAATAGATAGACATTACCACCTTAGTAAATCTAAAAAAGATCCTGGTGTTGATTTGACAAATGCAGATGGAAAATTGTGCTACATTTTTTAATGATGGTGAGTTCTTGTTCCCAAATTTCCCAACGTACAACCCAATCAGGTGACCAGGTGTTCAGCAGAAATGGCCATGTACTGGCTCATGTGAGGTGTTGCAGTTAAGTGCAGCACACATCGACTGTATCGTATCATTTGATGTGCATTAGTTGACGCCCATCACACAGACACACTCTTGACTACTCAGTAGCTGGCATGTGCCAAACATGTGGGATCAAGTTGATGCTTTTCTGAGCTGATGCATGTCAGTACCAGGAAATCCAACATATCCTGACAGTTGACCACATTGGTTTGTAATTCATGTCAAGATGCTGCTGGTGTTTACTGCCCTTTAAAGTTGTGGCTTATGTTGTTTCAGTTCAAGGGATCAGACTCTTCAGTGGGATCACTTCATTAGAGCACTCTGACATTTTGGGAAATCCTCCTGCTTGATGTCTTACCCAGAATCAGATAAGAAGATTGATATCAGAGTTATTTCTCTGCAGTACAGCGGGTTCAGCCTACAGCTAGACTGGAAGCAGGGTGAAGTAATGCCATGTACAGTAGTACCTATAGTACAATAGTACCTTATCTGATGCTAAAGCTCTCAAGGAGCAGGGTTGGAACAGAGAAAGGGCTAAGTGGGGAACTGCCACAGGGCCTTCCAAAAGCCCCATTTATTGCTCATTTAGATGATTGGTGAATGAGTAACCCTCCATTATTAAATGCTGTATGCCTAAAAATATTTCATATTCCCCAATACAATTGTGTTTAATCAGAATCAGAATCACTTTTATTGGCCAGGTATGTGCACACATACAAGGGATTTTACATACACAGAACATACACAGAATAAACATAAATGAACAAGACAACAATCACAACAAAATAGACATAAACTACTATGTACAGTAGACAAGTGGTCAGTAGCCCCCATCTAATTTTTGCCCCTGGGCCCCCTTCCAGAATAATCTGGACATGCAACTATTGCTACTATGCCACTACTACCTGCATACTATTCTTAGAATATATTATATATTCTTTTAATAGACAACAAAGAACTCATGAATCTTAGATGTCAGAGCATTCTTGAACACCAGGGACAGTTTTCAGATTCAGACAGTTTGTGTCTCAGGCTTCAAGTTTCAGTGCAACTTGACTTTTGTAGTGTATTGACATGGCTTGTAAACTAAATGTAATCTTTAAAACGTGTGTTATGTGTAGTTAGTGGTTGAAACACTGTGAAACATCAGCATGGTCCTTTGAGGTGATCGTGGCGATGTTGCAGAAAGCTCCAGTAGCTGAGAGTCTGAGTGATGCAGTGCAGTTCTCTGCAGCAGCCAGACAGCAGCTGACTGCAGGTCAGCCACAGATATCAGACAAGGACTATTTGTATGTGTGTGAGTACTGTAGACATCAGTGCTGCAGTATCACTGCTCATTTTATACATCATCAGTGCTGCAGTCGTTCCCCTGATCTCTGCATTCTGTAGCAGGGTGACCGAGACTGAGGCAGACTGTGATGAAAAAGCTTAATAATGAAAATTTTTGATAAACTGTGACCTTGACAGGCAGTGAGACACCATTCCTCTGCTAGAAACTAAACACAACATCTGCTAAAGTGTCTCCACCATCCTCCAGTGTGCTGCTACAGTATTTCTGTATCTGACCTCTGACCTCCCTGTGGAAGGAGTTAACGCAGTTTGAATGCAGTAAAAATAAGCATCACACAGTGTTTTTCCACAGGAGGAGCAGAGAGCTGGGAGCTTTGAAAGAGCTGTGTGTGTGAGCCAGGATTTAGCTTTAGTGAAGGCACCAAGAGGAAAATGCTGAATCATTCTGCCTCCTTACAGTCCTGGTCTGTTTCCAACTGCAGCTCACTCAGCATCCAAAAACAGGGGACGTGTCCTTCCCAAACCAGACATATACATTATTGTACAAATATGTCTAATTATGGCTGCACAATTATTGTAGATAATGATTTATTGTGAGATTCTGCTCAATTCCAGTCCACACTAACCAATTTTTCCTTGAAAACATGAATTTATTGTATTCATTATATGGTTTATGTCACAGATAATGCACAATACAGTTTACCATCTGTAATGAAGACATCACAAGAGTTTTGCACAGATTATGAAGTGGTTGAATTGGTGTGCTATTTGTTTGAGACCAGGTTGCAACATGGTATGAGAAGTGTGATAGTATCATTGAGTAAACTAACCCTTCTTAAGGCCCGCCCATTTTTGCTCTGTGGTCCAATAAGAGTTGAGCAAGCCTCTGCAAATGTTCTCGTTTCCTGTACGTAGATATGCTATATGCTAGGCTAATCTATGTTGAAAAGACAGTCACATTTATAAAATGGTTAAAAGATAAAAGCAACATATATGTAGTCACATCTTAAGTTAACTAATGTTAGAAAAACGTTAGCAAATTAGTTAACTCATGATTGATGTAACTTCAGTGGCTAGTTAGTTAGTGTTTTGCTAGCATTAGCTTTCAGATGTAGCCTTACTATCTAGCTAAAGAGTGAGGTAGATTAGCTAGCATCTTCAGAATGTAGTTATCTTTTCAACATAAGATTCAGCCCAGCATATGAGACAGCTATATTCTTTAAGGGTACGAAAAGGGGAAGTGAGTGACTGCATGCTTGCTCACTGTTACATGGGAGCACAGAGGAAAAAGGGAGAAATTGTTTCTCTTTTATCTCTGATTTTTATGGGATGCAGGTTAAGGTTGTGTTTGTAGTATTCAGATTAAGACTTTAATGGGGCAGATACTCCTACTGCAATTTTTGTGTACTTTACTTAAATCCAGTCATTGGTGCTTTTGTGTTTTAACTGAGATGTTGTTTGAAAAGTACAGACATAATGCCCAGCATCAGGTCAAAGTCTGGCTGTGTTTGAATCCATGTCAGGTTAATGGCTTTTCACCACAGCTTTTTAGGATAATAACTATCATATAATTTAAAAGCAATTAAACAGAGTGTGACTCATTCAGCCTGAATGGCAAAATTACACATCTATCTAACAGCCAGTGACAAAATATAAATGTGGTTTGGACATTATGTAGACTCTTTCTAAAAACGTTTCTTCTGTCTCTCTTCCAGTCGGACAGTAACACCAGTTTCCTGCGAGCGGCGAGGGCAGGGAACATCGACAAAGTTTTGGAATATCTGAAAGGGGGAGTGGACATCAGCACCTGCAATCAGGTAGGAGACAAATAACAGAACATCATTCACACATGGTATACTGGAGTGTGGGAAGATACAACACACCATTACCAGTGGAGGAACACAAACAAAATGAGACTTATACCCTTTAGTCTTTTGCCCTGGAGCATGCTGGGAGGCTGTAACTCACTGCCTCACATGGAATGGAGCCATTCTTACTGTTATTAGTTACACTTGTGCTTTCCCTGCTATGACAAGATCTATACACAGTTTTAGACTGTATGGACGTCAGCATTGTTATATCTTTCAGAGGCAGAGCAAACAGGTTCAGCCATAATAGCTTCAGCTATCAACATCCCCTTCTGAGATTAAAACCTTTTGTAGCACAGTTAGGTTGTCATTGTTTTTTCCTTAAATGTCTTTTATCTCTCATTTTGTCTCCACCAACTCCTGAGAAATATAGCTAGATCTTTAGCTGCTAAATGCCTCACTGTGTTCACCAGCTAGTCTCTCAGTGTGTCTGTCTGCTGTTTGGGGCTGGGGACATAGTGTACAGTGGGTTTATCAGAGCGGTTCACTGAGAACAGCTACCTGCTGGTGGCAACTGTGTTAACGAGAGCAAGGCCGATACACCAGAACAGTAAGATGAAAGATGCTAAAATGCTCTGTAGAGCTGAGGGGAACTGCAGAGTTGGTGGTAAGTTATTATGTGATTGTCCTAACAAGCAACACCTTTCACTTTACACACAGTCATTTGATCCATTTTTGATATTAGAAAGTACTGATAATGCAGCTTTAATTCACCTGTTAAGTGAGTCCATTGGTTCTTGCTACCTGTTTAGACTACAGTCCACTAATGAGCTCATGTTGTCTACTGCTAATCTCCATACACACATTTTGAATCATTATGAAAATGGCTCTACATTCCTGCAGGGGAGAGGACTGTGTTTGATCAGGGAGAGTTTCTTTATTTAGGCCTAGTCATTATCTAGTCTCCTCTAAGCCCATTAGCATTCTTGCCATGGACGAAACCTGATAGCATGTAAACACTCATGTCCTGGCAACAGTCATAATGAGCAGTAAACAAAAGTCACATGCAGTGGAAATCTATGATTTGCTGGTGGGCCTGTGGTATGTGGTAGGAATGATGTTGGCACCGATCACTTATGCCCTTGAAGATATTTTGAGCTCCTGTGATTGTGTTCCTGGCCCATTTTCAATTAGATTTTACATAAAGTTTGAAACGGAAAATGAAATGAGGTGTATTTCAGCTGGGTAGAAGTGAATAAACAGGTTTAAATAAGAATCATAGTAAATGTCACATGTTAAAAGACAATCTTTTAGCAGGTTATTGAGGTAGTTGTATTTGAAATGCTTTTATAATATATTTAACTAATTTAATATTTTGCATTGAATTTGTGTGTGATAATGGGCCTTTGACGGCAGATTTTTTTAGGCTTGAACCTTGCAGTAGCAGACATTTTGTTTTTCTGTGTTTGCATGTAAATAGACATGCACAGGTAATGGACATCAATGGAATTGCACATGGGTGACAAATCCTCTCTTTAGAGTTTGGATAAGCTGACCAAACTCTCAAAGGTTTGGTGCTGAGGCCTGAGATGCTTTCACCTGCTTTTGACATCTGACCACCAAAGACCACCCTTGACCAGAATTTGAAATTTGAATTGGATACTTTCCATGTGTTGACATGGTCGTTTCTGTGGATGGATGTGTGTGTCCAAAAATGGTGTTACCATGCTACCATTTCAGAGTGGACTTCAGTGATCAATGATGATTACCGGTGGTGTTGTGGGTACATTAAACGTATGCAACCATCAAGGTAAAAAATTGAGTTTGTCTAAAACTAAACTGCCCTCTCTGTACAGAGAGTAGTTAGATGGGTGGTTAAAGAGGTTATTGATGTTTGACCGAGAATAACACCCATATGGGATTTGCGTTTTGCTCACACACACCAACAACACTCACACAACAAAGCCCACACACACACACACACACACAATAGCACCATTCACAATACATACACTACACCACATTTCACTACACACACACGTCGCAGCTGATGTAAAACACAGGGTCGCCATACATACATCTGTAGTGCACATACTGTATGTGCAAACACATATCACTCACTTTGACAATAAAACCCATAACATCAGTGAAAACATACAGCCACACAGGTCGACGCCCATAGGGACCTTAATGACTCCATTACTGAGATGGAGTGATAGTATTGGTCTGTAGTTAGTAGTAAATGCTTTTTGATAGACAGGGGACTCTCCTGTCTCACTGATAATAATGATATGTCCACATGGTTATGAGCAGTTATTTTCAGCAAGCCTCTTACCTTTTAGCTTTGTTCCTTTCATCCAGGGTCTAAGGATGGAGGGTGTTG